ATCTTATGTTACCGCTCATGCGCAGTTGGTTCGATATTAAGAAAAAAGAGAAAAAGAAGACAAATGTTATGTGCGTAGATTCAGATCTATCTATATATTTATTAGCCACAGCAACGCGTGGCCGGGGCACCCCTAGTATATGTATAATAATAATATAGAATATTAAATTATTACATAATATTTAATATAATATAATATATATATATATATATATATATATATATATATATAGAATATATATATTATATAATATATTAGTATGTGTATAAAAAAATATATGATGTTAATACGATGATTACGATAATGGGATTAAAGAATTCTATTAAAAGATTATCTATTGAACATTCGAATAATAATAATAATAATAATAATAATAATAATAATAATAATATATCAAAAAAAAAGAAAAAAGGAGATTAAAAAAAAATAGTAAGAGAGAAAAGTAATAAAAGTGACTAGATAATCCTAAAAAATCGTCAGCTTCCATTTTTCATAAAAGCACTAAATATAATCCGTCCATTCATTTTTGTGCTTTTTTAAAAGAGATCTAAAACGGCTGTAAAAAAGAAGCTTGAAATGTTGCCAATTATCCAAACAACAAAAGTTTCGAATAATGTTGCCCTCGTCATTTTGCAAAAGTAATTTTTTTTATTTTGTGTTTTATCTTCTTATTCCATTTCATTTCTTTTTTTTTTCGTTTACTTTCTATTTTTTTCAACGAGAATTCTTTTATTTCTTTTTCTTTACTCTACGCTTATTAACATTATCTTTATTTACTTTGTCTCATTAATCTTTTAATTAGTTTATAAAATGACGTTTCTTTTATTTTTTATTTTTTTTTTGTATTTTTATTTTATAAGTTTTCCTAGAAAACTTTAAATAATTCTTCCTTCCCATAATTTTTTATTTACAAAATAAGGTTTCTTTTATTTCTTGATTTTTCTTATTTTAATTTTATAAATTTTCTGAAAACTCTTTAAATAATTCTTCCTTCGCATAATTTTTTATTTAAAAAATGTCATATTTTTAATTTTTTTAATTTTTTTGTATTTTATTTTATACGTTTTCTTAGAAAACTAAATAATTCTTCCTTCCCATAACTTTTTATTTACAAAATAAGGTTTCTTTTATTTTTTTATTTTTCTTATTTTAATTTTATAAATTTTCTTAAAAGACTAAATAATTCTACATTTGCGTGATTTTGTATTTAAAAAATGACATTTCTTTGATTTTTCATGTTTTTTAATTTTATACGTTTTCTTAGTAAGCTCTTTAAAATAATTCTTTCTACGCTTAATTTTGATTTACATAGGAAACTTACCCCATCAAAGTCGCAGTTATCCAGGTGGTAGCGGAGGAAGTGGGAGTGGACGAAATCTTGGAAGAAATTCATCAGTCAGTTCGCAAAGTTCTCAAGAAGGTGCCTCGTGTTCATCCCCACATCGTGGCTCTTCCCCACAAATTAGAGCATTTGGACCAGATGGACGATATCATCAACATCATCAACACCACCATCATCAGCATTACGATCCATTGCATGCTGCTTCTTCTTATCCACCAAGCAAAAGTTCGAGGTAAACGAAAATATTTTTAATAATCAATCATTAATTATATTATATTACATTATTTTTAAATAAAATAATTAATTTAAAATAATAATATAATAAATTATTTTAAAATAATTCGAGAACTTTTAAATCCATTCTATCAAAGAATTAAACGAAATCGATTGATGAAAAAAAAAAATTTTAATTATAAATTACATTTAAATTAAATAATGAATTATTAGGTCGAGTCATAAGTAACTTCCGATGCGTCTATGTAGAATCTATTTTTCCTATTTACCTATTATAAGTCACCGAAACAAACGGATTTTCAATATCACTGTATACATGAGGATTCAGTTAGTCTTCTGTTAACTTTTTTATGCAGTCAATGTTACATTTAACCGTTTTTCTTAACCTCTGAAATGGATAGTAAAAAGTGCATATTTGACATTTCCGACTTTGACGAACCTTTCAAAGGTAATATTGGAGCAAAATCCAAAACGTATCACGTTGAACAATTGCAAAGAGTGCAAAAAAATCTCCATGAAAGGTGTCTTGCACTTATCAGTCGCAGAAACACCATTCTTTGTCTCATAAAAAATGGAAGTTATTTATGACTCGACCTAATAAAAGAAGAAGAAGAAGAAAAAAAAATGTTAATATTTAAAAAGATATAAATAAATTATAAAAAAAATTGTAAATGAAACCTTAAACGAAACGTCTTTTCGTTCTCCTTCAAGTTCGTTTAATATCATTGATGGACTGAGTAGATATTCAATCTCGGTTGGTGCATTAGATGTCCAGCAAGATATAATGAGTCGCGTGGGTGTGTCTATTAGGCTAGGACTTGCTGTTAGACACGAACGACCAAGCTGGGAAATAACTGTTCTACCTGATATTAAACTTTTTGATGGTGATAGTTTGATAAGAATGATGATTGCTCGATCCAATTTCAGATAACGTAAAATACCCTAATCTAATCATTCTATACTTTTACCTGTATTTATTTATACACATAATTATATAATATAATAATTAATTAATTCTTGCAAAAATGAATATTCTTTTTCATTCGTTAGAAAAAAGTGGATCAAAAGTTTTCCTGCTTACATTTAAAATTAATTACACTTTTTGATTTTTTTTGAGTCAAGTTGTTGAGTTAATTTTTCGTTTTTGATTTTTATTCCTTTTTTTTTTCTTACAATGTAATTAAGCTTGTAAGTCAAAACTTGTGGCTTTATAATATCTTAAAAATAAGAAGAACAAAGAAAACTGAGCTTTAAAATCTTAAACAAGAGTGTAATTGATTTGTTAAATTATTATCTGACTACTTTTAGACCACATTGTTTATTAAGATTCTAGTTATATTCTTCTCTCTTGTTTTTTTCTCCTTTTTTTTTTCAAAAAAAGAAATATACTTTCTTGTTTATTAAAGCTTACACAACTTAACTTTGTAAAACTTTAGAAACAGACAGGCCATTTAATCTTTTAAGATGGCTTTTAACTTTTACCGTAAGCAAACTTTTATCGTAATGATGATTTTCAAAAATAAGAACAAGAATGAACAAAATTTAAATAAGTTATAACCTTTGAATGTGAAATACACCTGTTGTTACGTATATTATATAATAATATAATTATTATTATAATTTTAAATAGTATAAAATTCAGAGAGAACTTAGTTGTTTCAAATTATTATTAAAATATTATCATTTCAAGTTAGATAAATACGAATTTAAAAAAACTAGAATTATCTTTCTATTGTTTCTATTTGTTGAATCTTTTTTTAAACAAATAATTAAAATTATTGATAGATCACCGTCACCAGCAAGAACAGCATCGCTCGATGCAAGATGTGGAAGTCCAGGAAGTTATACCGGAAGTTTGCTCAGCGGTAATGCTTCACCCTCTCAAAGTTCTCTATCGTCAATGGCAACAGGTGTAAGTTCATCTTGCGGATGTCCTTCGATCAGTGGAATTCAGGTTACACCAAGGGCAAGTCGTTGTCTATCACCACTTCTCATTCCTCCTTCGCGTGCTTCCATCAGGTTAGTCAAATACAAAAATTTCACGCACAAGAAATGATCCCCAAATAATAAAAAGTAAATTGTAATATTTGTATGACAATAGTGATGGTGGTCCAGCACCACCAGCATCACCTTTAGGCTCATTACAACCAGATCTTTATCAAAGAAGGGATGGTCCAGTATTTTTAAATGCACGAAGGTAAGAAAATAAATAAATAAATTATAATTAATAATTATACATAATCATTACGTATGCATGTGTATTAACGATTATAATTATTTGAACTGTTTAGTTTGAAATTGGCCTAAATTCATTTATTGGGTTGGCAAGAAAGTAATTTCGGTTTTCTAGTGTGAAATGTTATTTTCTTGCCAGCCCAATAATATGATATATATACTATGGGTGTTTACTAAGTCTTTAAGTCAACTAATTACCTTATACCGCCATCTGTTAGAATCTTATCAAACTAACAGAGATAATCATGACTCTTTGTTAATAAACAAATAATTCGCGATTAATAAAATAATATAGCGATTATAAATTGAGATATAAACTATCTTATCTTTCAAGTTGGATGAAACTGCACATAGTGTGCAAATTTTTATTAAAATCGGTTCAGTAGTTAAGGAGTCCATTGCGGACAAACAACGTGTGACACGTAATTTATATATATTAAGATATTAAAATATTTATATTATTTTATAATATATATATATATATATATATATATATATATATATATTTACTTACTACCGAAATTACTTTCTTGCCAGCCCAATATATTCTAATCGAGATATATTAAAGGGTTTGCGTTAAATTAAATTTAAAGATTTAGTTAACACAGATGACATATAGTAGAATAATGTTTCTCGATTTTTAAAGGTATTTTTAAATGTACTTAGGCCACTGTCAAAATAAATGGCTCATTTATTGTAATCAAATTATTCTCATCAATAAAAGAGAAATAGATAAAGTATACACGTTTATTATACTATTGTATTATTCAGAGAGTAATTGGATCCATCATGAAATGGTTAATTTATTTAAACGATATTCAAACAATGTTTGACGATCAAATCACCGATTAAACGACATTTACTTTAAAACAATATACTATAATTACTATTGAAAGTAATTATTATTTTAAATATTCTACATGAATATATCGATCATAAACCAGACGAACATAACGAAGAACTTAAGAAAAGAATTAATTTAGGCAGAAGAAAAATCGAAAGAAAATAATGACATTTGTTTAATTGTTTGTATTTGTAGAACTGGTAAAAGTCTCGGCAGATTGCATCTACGTTTGAAATACGATTTCGATCGATCAGATCTCAACGTTCACCTAATCGAAGCACACGATTTAGCTGGTAGCGATCAAGGTGGTTTCAACGATCCCTACGTTAAACTAACCCTCAGTCCTGAAGTTGATGCACGTAAAAGGCAAACACGAATTCATAGAAATGATCCTAATCCTTTCTTCGATCAACACTTTAAGTTTCCGGTTGGTTTCGAAGACTTACAGGACAAGACATTGGTTCTACAGGTTAAATTAAATTTTATTATACGATCTAATATTTAATAATATAATAATAATATGTGTCATGTTCGTGTGAACACATTTTTCTTTTGAAATTACAGGTGTTCGATTATGATCGTTTCTCGAGAAACGATATTGTCGGATCGGTTAGAGTTGCAATTGACAGCTTAGAATTACCACCTACGTCATCTGCCATCGAGGTTTGGGGTGAGATCGAACGTGAGAGAAAACCACCAGAAGAAATTCAAGAAGTACTTCTATCCCTTTCATATTTGCCAAGTGCTGAAAGACTAACCGTGGTTATACTCAAAGCAAGAAATTTATTTCCCTCTCAGGTGTGATATACTTTTATTTCGATATTTTATTATATCATGATTTTAACCTGTTGACTGCCAACTACGAGATATCTCGTAATGTGTGTGTGTGCTGCAATTTTAGATTAACCCTTTCAGACCCTTTGCACATTATAATTGATTAAAACGTTGAGAATATTTCTTTTTATTTATTCTATTTTAATTATTTTATCGCTCCTGCGCAGTGATGATTCTGAGGATAAAATTTGGCTGTAATGCAAGTAGAGTGCATTAACCCCTTAACGCACAGTTTTTTTTTAAAGAACCAGCCAAAAAATATCAATTTTTTTTATGTAAAAAAACACAATTTAGAACATTGTCTTGGCAAAAAAATTACAAAAATACAAAATTAATCAAAATTTTTATAGCAGCATAGAATACAACGCCTTTCGAGTTAACTCGAGCGTGCAACTTAAGGGGTTAAAGTATTCAAATAATTGTTAATTAATCAAAAGGAATGTGTATTTTTGTTTAAAAACACCGAGTATATGATAGAAGCATTGTCTTTCTCAAAATTCCCCTTCAAATTGGCACGTTGTCTTCTGGAATAGTTATTTTATTCAATGTTGTTTATATGACTTTTCGAATGTCGCGCATGTGCATAACAGAAATAATTCACCTAATTAATAGAATTTAAGATTATAACGCTCTAATTTATGCTTTTTTATCATTCTAACGTAATTATTTTATTGCTCCTGCGCAGTGATGACTTCGAGTCGTAACGTTGCATTGAAGTATGCAATTGATGCATATAAAAATGTATTACGATGATATTACATATACTCTTGGGAATAGAAAATATTCAAAAAAATTCAAATTTATACTTTATAGAAAACATATTTTTATTTGCCACGTTCTAATCGGTTATTGACCTAAACTCTGATTTATTTCAAACTTTAAAAAAAAAAATAATAATTCTATTTTTATAGGAGAAAGAAACTTTGGACCCTTTCGTAAAAGTTAGTCTACTTTGCGGCGAGAAAAGGATAAAGAAGAAAAAAAAAACTGCTGTTAGAAAAGCAACTACGAGTCCTGTGTGGAACGAAGCCATGTCCTTCAATGTTCCTTCAAGTTCTCTCGCAACATCCGCTATCGAGGTAATATTTTTATTTCTTCTATTAAAAAAAAAATTTCAAACTTAATACAATTTTTCTTCTTTAAAAAAAAAAAATAAATAATAATAATAATAATAATAATAATAATAATAATTCAAGAAAATTACAGAAAATTCGTGTGAAAATACAAGACACATAACGTTTATCCCTAGATAACACTAGATTTTACACTGGATTTTTTAACATTAGATTTACGAATTAAACCAATTTGACTCATTAAAAATTTGATTACTATACTTATATAAAACTTAAATATTATTTTTTCTGAATATACGTATACTGAAATATACGTAAATATTAATTCTTCCCTTCATTCAACTCTTCATTCAAACAACATTATTAAATCATTAAAAAATAATGAATAAAAAATTCATAAATCTAGTGTGTGGTAATATTATGATTAACATATGTAATTTTTATTTATTTATTTTTGTTTTGTTATTAAAGGTATGCGTGTTAGATTCCAGCAGCGAATTGATTGGTGGAAATGCCATAGTTGGTTCCTGTATAGTTGGACCTGCTTCAGGATCAACAGGAGGAGGATCATCAGAAAGTAGTCAAAGTCGAGAACATTGGCTTCATATGACTCAATCACCAAGGAAAACCATTGCAATGTGGCATACGCTTCATTAGTTTTATTTATCATGATTAATAATAATCTTCGTTGGAATATTTATGAACAAAAAAATATTTCCAATGAAGCAAATATCTTATAAGAGAGATCCGAATGAAATAAAATTCAAAGGATTCTTTGAGCAAAAGATAAAAGACAAAAATGAGGAAAGAAAACTTGATAAGGAAAATTAAATCGACTGATTTCATATTAATTTTAGAAATCGTTTTTAGCAAATTAGCTGATCAAAAATCTGATATTGATGATAATCGATAGAATGGAACCGTGTTTTATCATTCATGCTGGGAAGATTCGATAAGAAGCTATGTGGGGGTAACCATAATCAATAATTTGAACGACGAAAGGAAAAAAAAAACGTAAAAAAAATATTGTATCTCCTACTTCTTCATACTCGTCCTATCTATAATAGTTTAGGTAATCCCTTTTGCTCACTTTTGTGATAGCCTTAGGGAATATCGTTGATATAAAACATAAAAGTTAAGTAGTATTATTATAATACATGTAAAATTGGATTAAAAAAAAGAAGAAGATAAAAAGGAGGAAGAGAGAATGAAAAAAAAAATGAAAAAATTACAAAAAAGAACAAAACATTAAAACAATTCTAAATCAAGGTTATTAACAATCGTTAATGTTCTCAATTATATTTATATTATTATTGTACTTATGTTAATATATTTTATATTTGATATCAATATATATTATATTAAATGTAATTGTATTATATAACGTTTATTATTAACTGTAAACGTATAATTATCGTGATTTTTAATTTTTAATTACTTTTAAAAATGCTTCCTATTGAAAACGTATTCAAATAATTACAATAATTTGTTTGATACAGTTTATTTATAAATTTTTATTAATATATTTCAATTAATTTTTGAGAAATATATAATTAATTTATTAAGGATATCTTTGTAAGGGAAGAATAAAAAAAAAACAAATCCACGTACCATTTTACTATACGAACGTAAGTAAAAATCGTACAAAGTAATGTTTTAAGATAAAAAGTCGATAAAGAAAAATTAAAAAAAAATAAAATACGTATTTCAGTGTAACGTTTTAGTATTTCTAAAAAAAAAGAAAATAGAAAAAAAAACGTCCGACAAGAAAGAAAGTCCGATATTACGTTCAATCGCGTGTATTTAATTTAAAAAATAAATGAATTAATACATAAAATAAAAATAAAAATAAAATAAACGTAAAATTAGGAAACCTAAACTAATAAATGTGCAAAAAATGTGGCCTCTAAAATTATATTGATGAAATAACAACAAAAAATGAAAAAAAAAAAAGAAAATGAAAAACATAATCCAAAAACTATGAAATAAATATTTAAAAATAAAAAGGGAAACAACAGAAAGAAATTACGAAAAAAAAAGAATTTACAGGCACGAAAATAAAAACACGGCTTGCTCTCGAATTCGAAGGCCTAAAAAATTATACGTCTTTCGTGTAAATGTATTATATAATTTATATTATATATAAAATATATATAATATATATAATAATAATAATTATTATTATTATTATTATTATCATTATTATTATTATTATTAAATTATAAACTACTAAACTATTAATTGTTCGCTATAATATATTATAGTATGTATTTGGATATATTATATACTATAATATTCTATATACACATAAATATAAAAAATCGTTATTATTAATAATCGTATAATTATCGAAGCAAAGCAACAAAAAAATGCATAAATTGTAATGTGTAGTATGAAATTATTCATCATATTCATGTCTTTCGGGAATATTTAAAATAACATAAATGATCTAAACAATAATAATTCAATTAAAAAATATATAAAATAAAATAAAATATTAATTAAATATTAATTTATTAGGTCGAGTCATAAGTAACTTCCGATGCGTCCATGTAGAATCTATTTTTCGTATTTACCTATTATAAGTCACCGAAACAAACGGATTTTCAATATCACTATATACATAAGGATTCAGTTAGTCTTCTGTCTATATTCTTCATAAAAAATACATTTTTTATGCAGTCAATGTTACATTTAACCGTTTTTCTTAACCACTGAAATGGATAGTAAAAAGCGCATATTCGACATGTAATGCTTTAGGAATTGAAACAAGGCAATAGTACTAAGGTGGCAACTGACAAAATATGCAGCGTATACAGTGCAGAACTGATAACTGATAGGGCAGTCAGAAATTGGTTTTTAAAATTCCGTTCTGGTGATACGATCTTAAAAGATGAACCGAGTGCAGGACGTATTTCCGACTTTGACGAACCTTTCAAAGGTAATATTGGAGCAAAATCCAAAACGTATCACGTTGAACAATTGCAAAGAGTGCAAAAAAAAACTCCATGAAAGGTGTCTTGCACTTATCAGTCGCAGAAACGCCATTCTTTGTCTCATAAAAAATGGAAGTTATTTATGACTCGACCTTTTCAATTAAATTTTATTACGATGTGTAATAAAAAAAAAAAGGAAAATTGAAAGAAAATTATTCAAAAAAGATGATACATACATAAATTATGTATCGAAATTCTATCCTCGTTGAGTAAATTTTTCCGACCAATACGTCATATCATAAAAAAAAAACAACAACTATTTTCAAATCTTACAAAATACAAGAAACATTATTATACACAATTTAAAAAAACGGATTCTAAAGATTCCGCTTATTATTATTGAAAAATGATTAAATCGTTTAATCGTTTGACTGAACAAAACAAACAAAAATATGTCACGGCGGCAACGTAAAAAAACAGTATAAATTAATGGGAAGAAAAAAAAGTAGAAAAAAATTAAAACACAAAAAAAAGTGGAAAATGAAGAAGAAGAAGAAGATGAAGAAAAAAATATATAAAAAATTAAATACAATAGTTATAAACGTTAATCATATAAAAATGAGTATAATAAACATATATAAATTTAATTAATAATATAATACACATATAAGTACAATTATTATAATAACGCAAAAATTGTAAAATCAAATATGAATTTTGAGGAAAGAAGAAAGAAAGAAAGAAGAAAGGAAATGATGGAATGAAGGAATGATAAAATTGAAAATGAAAAGAAAAAGGGATTAAAAGTTAAAAAAGAATGTAAGGACGCTTTATCGTTGAAAAATAATCGGTCCGAATCGTACGCTTAAACTTATACTTACACAGTATTTCTATGGTTCTACGTACTTACTTACATACAGCGAGAGGTATACTGTTTATATTAAATTTATATGTACATATATATATTATATATTATATCTATATATATATACACGCATACAGGAAAGCGTGCATATGCATATAATTGAGATATATGTATATATGTTTACCGCCGTATGAACAATCATCCCGGGTGTCTACCGAAATACTCTTCTCTCTCTCTCTCTCTCTCTCTCTCTCTCTCTCTCTCTCTCTCTCTCTCTCTCTCTCTATTTAAAAGCCTTAATCATTTTGCGTTACGAATATATTAAATATTTACATATATATACACACATCAAATAAAACTTATATTAATTAAAATGATATTTTTATTAAACGATCACATTTACGTCGTAAAAAAGAAAACAAAAATCTCACATCATTTTCGATAAATTATTTATATGTATAAACAATTAATATACATTCATTTATAAATATATATTATACTTGATATCTTTTACAGAAATTTTGCAACATACAAAAAAAAAAGTAAAAGAAAAAAAAGTAAAAAAAAAAAAGCCATTAGTAATTTCTAAATCGATAGACACCCTTGTTGGTCGGACCTGAATTTGCCTTGAACTGTATAGTGAACAAAATAATACGGTCAGCATGTTTATTGTATATGTCGAGAATATTCTATCAAATATGGGAACTGCTTTTTATTCAGTCGATTATAAATATAACAAAAAATCCATTGTGTTTTAAACTTCTTCAATATTGTGACTGCAAATATTACAGAAGATAAAAATTAATTAAAAATAAAGAAGAAAAAAAATAAGAAAAAAAACAGAAGAGAGATGAGGGTGCATAAACATTTTCCACAACTGGTTTTGTGGATTATTTCTTACAAATAATATCTATCATCTTGATACGCGTACACTAATGTATCTTACATGTAATGTGTAATCTATATTTTTCTTGTAATGTATCCTTATCGTGATTTTATTCGGAATAAAAAATAAATTATTTACATGGTAATAATTAATATTAATAATATTTATCTACAAAGGTGAGCATGCATCTTAAATTGAAACAAAAAGAAAAAAGAAAAGAAAGAAAAATGAAAGGTATGAAGAATTAATTTTTGTTTTATTATAATCATTATTATAATAATACTAATAATAAACTAGAAAATTAATTTGTGCTCTTTAATATCACATAAATTATTAAAACTATATGTAACTATCAAAATTTAATATCACTTCAAATAATATTCCAGCTTAATATATCATAGTATATTAATTAATTTACAAAATACTATATTATATTTATGGAAAAAAAAAAAGTAGAAATTTGATTAAATATTATATTCTATTTGAATGAACAAAATATTTACTATATCTGTCAAGCGTAGTAACGTTAATATGAAAAACTATTGTAGAGAAAAGAAATCTTTAAAATTATAAATATATACGTAAATTTATGCATATATAATATCCATATACACAATTTTATATATATTATCTCAAAATTAAATAACTTAATAACAGTAAAATAAAAATATATCGCATTTAATCCAATATATGAATATTTTTGGTCTATCTATTGTAAGCTGAAATAATTTTAAGTTGTAAAAGAATTAACGTTTTTAATTAAATTATCGGTTTCGGCGATTTCGACAAAATCTTTTACCCCCTTAGGTCTTACAGCAAGACATATGCTTGCTCCATTTTCGTGCCATTTTGCTTTAAGTAACACGCTACATCCTTTTGCTATGACGCAAAAAATATATCAATCAAAAAAAAGATTTAATTAATTCAATTAATTAATGAATAAAAATATGAACATACCAATTTGTCCTCGTTCATGAGCAGCAGCCAATTGATTTACCACACGTCTTTCAACTTCATATTTAATCGAACGTGCACCATAATGAGAATCATATCCATCAGCTAAAACTGATAACACATCTCTCTCCCATTTTAAATCGATCATATGCTTTTCACGAGCACGTACAGCCCATGTTTCTAATTCTCGTGCTACTAATTTTAATAATTCTGATCTTGAGAATGGCAAGAAATAAACTATTTCATTTATTCTACCCAAAAATTCATCCCTTCGAAAATAAGCTTTCAATATAGGACGTACCTAAGAAAATAAAAATAAATAAAAAAATAATTAAAAATAAAATTATATTTTTTTTGTATGTTCATAATTATAAAACATAAAAATTAATTGCATTACCACTTCATCTTTAAAATTACGTGATATCTCAATACGTTCCGGTTCTTGATCTTCGTTAGAAGTTTTATCAAGTCTTTGAGATAATAAACGATCTGCTTCTTCACGAAGTTGTATAGCATATTCTGCTATTTCTTCACTTGCTAAATTCGATGTCATTACAAAAATTGCGTTTTTACATTCAATAGTTTTTCCTTTACCGTCGGTTAATCTTCCCTATTAAATAATAGTAAATGATAATTATAAATGAATTTTTAATATCTAATTAAAATATATTTATCTATTAATGTACCTCATCAAAAAGTTGTAACAATACTGTTAACACATCAGGATGTGCTTTATCAACTTCATCAAACAATACAACGGCATTAGGACATTTTTTTAATAATTTTGTTAACTGTCCACCATTTTCGTGTCCTACATATCTAGAAAATAAAATATAATATGAAAATTATCTATGCAAATTAGAATATAATATAAACATACCCTGGTGGTGCACCAATTAATTTAGCAACTTCATGTTTTTCTTGATACTCGGACATATCCAAACGAATAAAGCCATCCTTTTTATTTTTATGAATGTATCCTGCTAATTGTTTAGCTAATTCAGTTTTTCCAATTCCAGATGAACCAAGGAATAAGAATACCAATGGATGTTCCTCGTCTATCCAACCATTTTCTTTTCTCCTAATAGCTTAATATAATCATATGTATGTTAAACATTTATAAAAAATATTCTATATAAATTGAATCATTAAATTCAACTTACTAGAGGCAACGATTGAAATTGGTCCTTCTTGTCCAACAATATGTTGTTTAAGACGTTGTTCTAATGGAAATCTACGCCGTTCTTCAGCTTCCTACAATTAATGATCAACAAATTATGGATAAAATTACAAAACTTTTCACAAAAAAAAAGAAATATCAAGTAATATAGAATTAATAATGTAATTATTTTTATGTTTATAGTTATACATACTTTTTCTTTAGAAATCTCATCAAACATAGAAGCATACTCGGTTAGCATTTGTTTAATGTCTGCTTCTTTCGTATATTCAACTGGTCTATGCCCTGCATCATTTTCAATAGTAGGATTTGCTCCTGCATCTAGTAACGCTTTAATGCAACTTCTAGAATTTGCTAGAACAGCATAATGTAATGCTGTAAAACCATGAAATGTAGCTTTACTGTTCAACCCATCAAAGAATTCATCTGACCTTATTTGAAGTACTAAAAATTATTTTGAATATACATTAAAAATACAATGTATTCTTTATTTTTATCAAAATTATTAATAATTCATTTCATTGAAAATACCTTCTATAGTATGAAAACCTTTTTGCATAGCAGTTTTATATACATTAACAAAATTATCTCCTGCATTTAAATCAGCACCCTTTTCTATCAAAAATTTAACTGCATCTGCCTTTCCATTCATCGCTGCTGCTTGTAAAGCGGTCCAGCCCATGTGATGCCTTGCATTTACATCCATACCATCTGACAATGCCTATAAAATAAAATACAATGAAATAACTTTACTTTTATAGTCTGTACGTAATCTAAAATTTATTTACGTACTCTTTTAAGTTCTGGTACATTGCCATATTGGGCTGCACGAAAGAAACGCTTTTCTACAATATATAAATTGTATATAAATATTAGTAAAAGAAATAATATTTAATAAGATATATTATATAGGTAAATACCATTTAATATTTTACCTGTGGTATAATCTAGTATATCACAGAAAGCTGTAACAAGGCCAATACCACTTAATGTCAATGCTAAATTTTTATAATGGCTTTGATTACTATTATTTCTTCTTATTCTGAATGGATCACTTAAATATTTAACAACTAATGGACTACATGTTGTACAGAATGCATTTATCAATTTACACAATGGATAAGTCTGTTTTTCTAGGATGTAACTAAATTGTCCATAACCTCTATCATACTGACAGAATATATTTTGGATTCTATTATTTTTTCCATGTTTTATATAATTTAATAATAATTCAACATGCCTAGAATTCCTCATGGTGAGATATAATTTCAAACTATACCACCGTAACATTTTTTAAATATTAATTTTTCTTGTTTTTTTTTTTAAGTTTTACACGTGATGATATTCTTTTTGCAAAATATACATTGTAATTATTCACTATTATTTCACATTCATTTGAAACGACTGATAAACTCGTTTGTAAACAATATCATAATTGCTTATCTTGATGCAATTAATGTTTATATTTTGTATATATATATTTAAAAAAAATATTTACTTCTATCAAACGTATTTATACAGAGGTGATCTAAGCGAATAGTTCATAAGAAAAACCATGTGCTTTTTAATGATATAATATATAATAATAAGAAAATGTTTATAAAAATTACAAAGATAATTTATCATTGGAATATTTAATAGACGTTCGTAAATCTTAAAAGAAAAAAAAAAAAGATAATATCAATTCATTACGCAATATTCAACAAAAATTGATCGATCCAATCATATGATCTTGGAATGCGAAAATTAAATCATACGGGAAAAATCGAATAATTATCTATAATAATAATACCATCGTGAATTTTGAAATAAAAGAGTATCCAATAGTTTTAATAAGCATAAACAATGTATAGCATCATTGAGAAACATTCGAAGGACGAAAAAATGTTAATTATTTTGAAAATTAATTAATGGATACCATTTCGTTCGTCCTAGCCAATCAAATTAAGCCAGCGCAGTGACGAAAAATTCAAATATTTTTTCTTTTAAGAAACAAAGGTTTATTGAAATAATTCTAAATAATAAATTTAAATCATGTATGATAATCGTTAAAAATTATGAAAATAAATGTATAAAATATATCTCTAAAAAAGAATCAATAATTTTGATGGAATTTCAAGGATTCGATTAATTCTGATTGTTCGAGAAAATACAGGTGCAAGGTATGTATATGCTTTGTATTGTGTGTGCGGAAAGGTATATTATATCGAATCTTCCAGAATATTCCAGAAGAAACTATCGACCAATCAGAAAGCGTATAACTAGCGCCATGATGTTTAAGCGGACAATAGCTGAAAGTTCTATATCGTTAGAGTCACGGTCTAAAGGACCCTCTCTTTCAGTTTATCGTACGCAACCGGAGCAAACGGAACATTTTTTCGTGAAAGTTGTGTTGCTTTATCAACGTAATTAAAGACTCCGAAAATTTTCATCTAAAACTATCTTACTTATCCGATTCACGTTTCATCATTCTCTAACTAAATTATCGATTATCGTGAATAGACGAGTGATTAAAAAAATATCCTGAATAAATTCTAATCGATAGTAATTCGTGTTACACAGTGTCGTTAGGAGGAACATCATCGTAATAAAAATCAAAGAAATCAGCCATGGCTGCTATGTCCGTGATCGGGATCGACTTCGGAAATGAGAGCTGTTATGTCGCGGTAGCAAGAGCGGGAGGTATCGAGACTATAGCAAACGATTATAGTCTTCGTAACACACCGTAAGTTTCATAATTCTTATGTATAAATTCTTTGTCATTTTCTATTTCATTATTCCCTCTCTCTCTCTCTCTCTTTTTACCTCTTCCTCTTCCTCTTCCTCTTCCTCCCTATCATCTATCTTCCTCTCTTCTCTTCTCCTCTCCTCCCTCTCTCTCTTTCTATCTTTTTCTTTCCCCTTCTTTCTCTTTCTTTCTCTTTCTTTTTCGTCCGTAAAAAAAAGCCGCTGGATTGCTAACATGCCGGTACTTTTTTTAATTCATCGATTTTATTGTTATCTTTCTATAATTGTAAAAAATATCTAAAAAGTATTTTTCTTTCATCTAATCATAGAAAGAAAAAAAAAAAAAGAAGATCCATGAGAGAATGCTCCGTCATCTAATACCAAAAATGGTCAAACGTCGAATTAAAGTTTTTGATCAACGCCTATAAATTTCGCTAACGATTTCCTTCTTCTTCTTCTTCTTCTTCTTTTATGGTTTCGATAGAAATCATCTATAATAATTGACTATTTTATTTTTTCTTTATTTTTTTCTTTTTTTTTTCAAGATATTCTCAATTCAATTATTTTGTAGGTGTATTTTCACCTTTAATATTTATTACCTGTAATTTTCGATTTATTGATTAATCGATATGATGTTTTTGCATCGTAAAGATTTAGTTATTTTCTTTTGTATTTAAATAATTAAATTAATAAAATAAATTTATTTATAAATATTATACTAAATTTAGTATACTATTTATATGTAATGTATAATGGTAATAGACACATAATAACGTTGAACTAAATTTATGAGAACAAATGTTATATACCATATAGAAAAAACGTTGATTACTTTTTGCACAGCATGTACATAAGTGTTTTTTTTTCTTGCAGTGCTTATTATGATTATCACATACATCATACTATTCATTTTCTAGAAGAAACATTATTGATCCGTTGATGGAAAGAATTTCTTTAAAATAAAACCAGAATTGCATTTAGTTTGTCTCGAATAATTTTAATTTAAAAAATTCTTCTATTAATTATCATTTATCGTTCATTATCTTTATTTAAATCTTTAATATATATATAAAGAAAAATTCTTTCAATTCTTTCGTTTGAATTTGCCGCGTACTCCTAGGAAGAGGCATAGAGAAATCGATAGAAATCGATTAATCAATCGATCGATCAATCAGTGACAGCTAGAGAGACAGATAGATAAAGAGACATAAATAATATTATAATAAAATTTAAATAATTAATTTGTAAGATTAATTGGACTAGGGTACATAAAAAGAAGCCGATAATAGTCTTGAATTGTCGTTTCTTTATTAACACACAGGTAAATTATATATAATAAAATTCACGATTGTAAATAGCTAATAAAACCTAACCCCTTCTCTTACAGGGAAACAGATTTGATTATTATCATTCCATAAAACCTTTCATATAATTGTCTTATATATATATATTTATCTTTAATCTTTCACAGATCATGCGTTGCATTCAGTGGAAAAAACCGTGTGCTTGGTGTAGCTGCAAAAAATCAAATGGTAACCAACATGAAGAATACCATTTATGGATTCAAGAGGCTTTTAGGTAGAGAGTATCTAGATCCCCAAGTACAACGTGAACTGAAATGTTTATCATTTAAAACCTCCCCACTAAAAGATGGTGGTATTGGAATACATGTAAGTTTTTCATGGTTTTTAATATTGTAAACAAAATATAATTTCCATTCATTCTTCAATAAATTATTATTTCTTATTATTGCATATAATAGTAAAAAATTAAATTATCCTACTGAAAGTCTATTTGATAACTTTTAGCAATGAAGAATGAGTATTAATAGGAACTTTGCCAAGAATTCAATAGTTTATGAAGGCTGACATTTTATTTATATCATTTATATATATATATATATATATTACACGCGATGAATCATAATTTTCATTCAATTTATAAACTTTAAAATAATATCTCGTATCTTAATATAAATATTGAAAAAATATAACAAATAAATAAAATTCAGTTTAAACGTTTGCTTATTATAGATAATATAATGCTATATTATTATTTTATTTACAGGTACAATATTTAGGAGAAGAACATATTTTTTCACCGGAACAAATAACAGCTATGTTATTCACAAAATTAAAAGACACTTCTGAAACAGCACTTCAAACTGCAGTTAATGATTGTGTCATATCCGTACCATCATATTATACACAAGCTGAAAGGCAAGCTTTGCTCGATGCTGCACGTATCGCAGGCCTAAATGTTCTAAGATTGTTTAACGAAACAACTGCCACCGCATTAACTTATGGTATTTACAAACAAGATTTACCAGCTCCCGAAGCGGCACCGAGAAACGTAGTATTCGTCGATTGTGGCTATGCTAGTTTACAAGTGTGTATTTGCGCATTTCATAAAGGAAAGCTCAAGGTATTTATTATTTCTTATTTGTCCACATTCAATAAATTATAACAAATTAATTATTCAATACATATTAATCAATGCATTTAATATTTTCATTTGCAGATGCTAGCTAGTGCAGCTGATAGTAATTTGGGTGGTAGGGACATAGATACCATCTTAGCGGAACATTTTTGTAAAGATTTTCAATCTCGATATCGCATAGATCCGCATACAAGTCCGCGGGCGTACTTAAGGTTACTTGCCGAAGTAGAAAAATTGAAGAAACAAATGTCAGCTAATTCTACTACTCTTCCACTTAACATCGAATGTTTTATGGAAGAAAAAGACGTTCATGGTGAAATGAAACGAGCGGATATGGAAGCTATGTGTGCTCACTTATTCAAACGTGTTGAAACGACTCTTAGGCAATGTTTAGCAGACTCAAGTAAACATTTTCTAAATAATACATATTATTAATTTATCTTTTCAAATAAAAACAATGTTATTATATGTCTACAATCATTAATATTTTGTTATAGAATTACAATTAGAAGAAATACATTCAGTAGAGATAGCTGGTGGATCTAGTCGTGTTCCTGCGTTAAAACGTGTTGTCGAAGAAGTATTTGGTAGGCCGATATCAACGACATTAAATCAAGATGAAGCTGTTGCTCGTGGTTGTGCATTACAATGTGCAATGCTTAGCCCTGCAGTTAGAGTCAGAGATTTTTCGGTCACTGATATACAACCATATCCATTGAAGTTAACATGGGATCCTACTCAAGGAGAAGAAGGGTAAATGATCATAATTACATAATGAATACTTGACAATATGAGTATTATAGTTATATAAGTATTTTAATTTATTTGTATTATGCATTAAATAGAGAAATGGAAGTGTTTGGATATAACCATCCTATCCCATTCTCAAAAATGTTAACATTCTATCGTTCAAGTCCATTTAAGCTTACTGCTAGCTACAGTATGCCACCATCATCATATCCTTCAACATATGTTGGTATGGATTTATACGTTAGAAAAAGTTCAATAATTAAAACAAAGAAATAGTGTTCTCATTTATTTCTGTCATTTTTCTTAGGTGTTTTTGCTATTAAAAATGTTAAGCCAACACCAGAAGGTGAGGCATCGAAAGTTAAGGTAAAAGTGAGAATAAATCTCAATGGTATTCTTACTATTGCATCTGCATCGCTTGTGGAAAAACGTGAGCCAACGCAACAAGAAAAAGAAGAAGAAGAAAAATTATTGCAACAACAACAACAGCAACAAAATAATATGGAAGTTGAACAGGACAATAAGAAAGATAAATCTGATCAAGAAGCACAAGCAAAGGAACCACCAGCACCTGAGGTATTTATGTTTATAATCTGTATATGATTTCTTTTTTCTCTTATTGAATTCTATTGAATACAATAATAATATTGAAATTATATAGCAATGAATGATATAACCATATAATATTTGTTCATTCGATATTAATTATTAGCAGGGTGCGAAAAATCACATTCAGTAATTAAACTATAAATATCATCAGATGCATGATTACGTGAGTTTGTTGTGGTTTAGGTGAGCATGGATAAGACTCGAAGGAACTCAGATGCTGACGATGGTGGAAAAGGTGTTAGGGGTTCTGCCCCTTCCTGCTCCTCGAGGATTCTCTCTTGGTTCAGTTCGGTACGCGACACACTACCTCTACTTGGACCCATACGCATAGATTTATTCAGCGATTAATTATGCTGATTTTTTTATTTCTTACATTTGCTTTAGTTAGGCCATTATTATGTCGTCGTATCAGTTTAATTGTCGTGATTATTCTTTTATTCATAAATATCAACGACATTGACTGTCTTTTGTATTATTCAATTCTTTACATAGGCATCCATCGTTTGTATTTTAAAATACGCGATTTCATTTATTTCATTTTAAATTGAAATAATGAGAAAAGAGTTTTTGCACGTATTTTATTAATCTGAAAATACTTTCTTTCAATTTCTTCAATACCTAAAACAAATTTCATACTTTCATATTTGCTATGCAACAAAATATCGTCGATGTCATCTTTTTTTTTTTTTTTTCATGTTGTACACACGTGTAGTTGAATACGTCGACAAATTTAGATAATCACCTTTGAATCAATCGCACTTAAATCCATGTATATGTGTGTATATATCTTTCTTTTTTTTTTAACGAGTATTATTAGGATAGAAACTATATATATATATATATACCTATTATTTATTATTATGACAAAAAGCACCACTCTTGCATGAAAAATCAGATGCATATTAAAAATCCTGAAGCTCTGTGTCGATTTCTTCTGCAATCTCGACCACTTAAGGATTAATTTCTGATAGCCATATCTCCATTCTTTAGTCGGCATGGAGTTATTAGTAAAAATGTTTTAAAATAATTCCAGATTTATGTATGTTTATAAAAGTGAGAGTATATAATAGTGCATATGGGTCCAAGATAACAGCTGTGTCATGCCGTGCTGTCTGTTTTTGCTCTGCTATTCTTTAAACTGGGTCGCAGAAGGAAAAGGGACAGTCTCTTCATATAACTGCCATCTTGTAGTTCTGCGAAATATTATTATTAATTGTAAAAAGAGGCAGGCAATGCGAATCAAGTTTTCTATTCGTACTGATCATTCGTGTAATAATTTTAAACATTGTATTTCTAAGAGGAATACATTTATTTTAAAACATATTTTCTTATTACAACATTATTTCGCAGTGAAAATGAAATGGTACGAATTGTAAACTATACGCATAAAAAACTTGTCCTTGTGTTAATCTTTAACCAACCGTCAATGCCTGATTTCCAACTCGAATCCTCTTATCCTTGTCTAAGCTTCATTTTTATACATGTATTATATATATTTTTTACCTTGTTATGTTTTGCTCCTTTACTATAAGCGTAATATACTAATGAGTCAGAATCTAAAAAAAGAACATAAAAAAAACAAGTTACAAGAAAGCAATGTAGTACAGCGAAGGTAAGTCAAAAGAAAATGAAAATAAAAAAAAAAAAAAGAGTAGTACATTTAAAAAGAAGCGAAAGGCTTTCTTGTAAATGTTCTTTTTAATATGATCACTAAATAAATACTATCGTAATCTATTTCAAATGTAAATATATATATATATATAAATAAAAAAAAAGAGATAAAGAAACCATTTATCGTATAATTAACAGAAAATTTATAATGTTTCAGAATGAAGATAAAGGAGAAGATGCCAAAAGCAAGAAAAAAGTTCCTGTACGGACAATTGAATTACCAATCGAGGCAAATGTCAGTGGACTTTCTCAAAGAGAGCTAGATATAGCTTTAGAAAAAGAGGTATAATTATTTTTTTTTTTTTTTCAAATAGATGATAATCTTTGCTGTTTTCGAATTTGTATTATTATTTTTAAATAATATTATAGTGTAAAATGATAGCTGAAGATAGACAGGAGAACGAACGTATTGATGCACGTAATGCATTAGAAGAGTACGTTTATGATTTACGTTCTAAACTGACCGACGATTTTCAATTGGCTTCATTCGTTACGGAAAATGACAAAGATTCGCTTTGCCGTACGTTAGATGAAACTGAAGTTTGGCTTTACGAGGAAGGAGAGGATTGTCAACGACAAGTTTATATAGATCGTTTAACACGCTTAAAGGTAATATACAAATAATACAAATAATAAATACAAATATTTGTATATTAACTTATATACAGTTATTATATATATGCTACAGTTTCGTATATATATAAAGAAAAGTATATTTCCTTTCATTTGAATTTGCCGCGCACTCCTAGGAAGAGGCGTAGAGAGATCGATAGAAATCGATTAATCAATCGATCAATCAGATAGAGAGATAAATAATATTATAATAAGAAAATGTAAATAATTAATTTGTAACATTAATTAAACTAGTGTACCGATAATAGTATTTAATTGTTTGTAAATAGAGGTTAGGTTTTATTAGCTTTATTTACAGAGAAACAAATTTGATTATTATATATATGTAATAATAATAATTATCAATTTTTAATAGGCACAAGGTGAGCCAATAAAAGATAGGAGACGAGAATTTGAGGGAAGAGGACAAGCATTGGATGAACTAGCAGGTGCATTACAACTTGCTAAAAAAGGATTAGATAACATTAAGGCTTCCTATGGGAAGGACGATAAGTATTCTCATCTAACCGACGATGAGATTAAAAAGGTCGAGAAAATAGTGCAAGAAAAATGGGCTTGGTTAGAAGAGAAACGTGTAGTACTTGCAAGTACTCCTCGTACGCAACCACCACCAACAACAGTAGCTCAGATACGTTCGGAGAAACAGGTATATATTTTTTATTTATTCAATTATATATTATTCGGAGATATGTTAATGCACAAGAGTGTACATTTATTGATTTTTTATTATTTATGATTACACAGGCATTAGATAGCGTTGTATTGCCAATTTTGAATAAACCTAAACCTAAGGTAGAACCTCCTAAAGAGGATAAGCCAAAGGACAAAAATGCTACTGCTAATGATCAAAAGAGTACTAATCAGAATAGTCAGGGTGACGCTCACATGGAAAATAATCAACCACAAACTGAAGATGATAAGATGGATGTTGAGTAACAGTCATCTCAATTTATGTTTTTTTAAATATTATCAAATTTACCAAGGATTGAGAAATGGTGAATATTTCATTATGAAATTATCCTCATCATTGTCACACAAGCGCCTGATATGACTTAGTTAGACAGCACACGTTGTTTTTCTATTTCTCTCTTTTTCTGACTGTCTATCTATCCTGTCTCTCTCCTCCTCTCTCTATTCTTTTTTTTTTTCTTTTTTTTTTTTTTGTAATTTCTTTTTAATCATTACCAATTTGATAAATTTTCTAGTTCGTTGAGCGATCGTTTGTTATTTGGAAGTGGGTGTCTTGGAAATACAAAAAAAGAAAAGTAAAGTACACACACGATAAAAATAACCTTAATAATTACACAATCAATTTATTCGTACTATCATGTCATTCATAATACATTGTAATATATATAAATATATATATATATGTATACCTAACAAATGTAATATGTGTGTACAGGGTAGGCTATTTAAATTATTAAAAATAATTAATATAAATTAATTAATAGCTTATCTTGTATGGATTATTCGTCTCTCGAAAAAATAGAAATTTCATCCTGTACACATGTATCATCTTTTGCGTACATATTGTGACATATTTTAAGTAATGTATTTAAAAAAACACAAATTTATGAGAGATTTATTATATGATTAATAAATTTCCAAGACACAATTAAATGAAGGAAAAATTGCTATGTCAGTATGATATAATCTTAAAAAAAAAAAAAAAATAAGAGACTCTCTAAGTGTTCTCTAAAATGCCAGTGAAACATGTTTAATACTAAATTAAATTTTTTGTGAAGTAGTAAACATCGCTGGCGATCTTATGTATTTAAAAACAAATAACATATTGTTCATTCCATCGTTTTCGAAAGCGGGACAGTTAACACAAAAAAATCTACTGTCAAACAAATTTATGTTGCATTTATGATACTTAAATAAATTAATGTTTCACTTAAAGTTCACCAAGCCTGCTAATAGTAGTCACATTGAGTAAGTATTAGGCAGCTCTATAGCTTTTTAAAAGCTACCATCTTTTTCTTAAGGAAAAAAAAAACGTAAGGAAGTACATTGAGGAAAAAAAGGACTGTGTTGTTATTTTCATTAATTTTCATAATGAAAATTGAGCTTTCAATACCGAAATAGTAAATTTCTAGTTCCTAGTTAATTAGATATACTTGTAATTTTACATAGTGACAATGTGTATATAATTAATAAGCTTTGGTACATTTCAGCTATTCTAATTTTCATTATTATTGAGTTTAACGTATGTGTAATATCTGTCGATTTCTGGTCACAGCGAGGCATGCCTACATGTTTGTTTTATTTTTATTTAAATTTATAAAAATAATGCCTTCACGTAATTACCATATATTGATTATAATATCACTACTTATTATTTATGCTTGATTTAAATAAAGAACAAAATTAAATAAGAATACACCACAGGTATTTATTGTCAATATACATATATTATATTAAATAATATAATTTTTTGTTCATTTTTGTAACACACATTAGACAAGGATGAAAAATTGAATAAAATTAAATATTATAAAGTTATCTACTTCCAATAGTTATATCAACATAAAAAAATATAATAATGTAAAATTTGATAGGAATGTTCATTATTCATTTTTAACTTGTTTTTTGGTCATACAAATAATATATAATTTTTGCAACATATCTTATATAATTAGAATACTTTTATATATTAAATATCATCAAAGCTTATGTAATTTATATATTACAATTATACAAGCAAATCATATTCTTTTGTTCTTTCAATAATATCTTGATGACTGATTAAATGTAGGTGAAAATTATGAAAGTATATTAAACTGCACGTGTAGATTAATAAAATGAATTAATCTTTCTTGACTTCTGTCTTGGATCGTTCATCAAAATATGCTCTGTATATAAATGCTGCCAATGCGATATGTAAGACCACAATTGCTACTCCTGCCGAATATACATTGCTTGATATGCTATTTTTTCCCAATAAACCTGTAAATGTATCAACAATGTTTATTAGAAAATGAGTAGAAAATAATTCTCTATTGGGAAGAAAATTGTTGAGTATACGAGAAACATATTCAATTATTACCATCAAATATAAATATTTTGCTCATAAAAAACGATAGCACAGGAAAGGCTATTATTATCAAACAGTGAAATAATACTGTTTTAAAAACTTGTAATTCTGGTAATTCCTAAAACAAATAAATATTAATTAATTGTATCAAATTTTGCTAATATTATCTAAACTTTTTCTATAATGTCACTTACTTTTGTATTCGCCATAATATAAACAATATATTTGCAATATAATTTACACAAAAAAAGATAAATGATAAGGTTAAATAAAAGCACTCTTTGTTCTATATATTTTATATTAACTAAAGCATAGTATTAAATAATACTACAGTTAAGTACATAATCGTGGAAAGCAAACAATCAAATTGATATTGATTAAATTTGAAAGAACAATTATTTATTTTATATTATAATTGTTCGTAAATTATTTACAATTAACATGACAAAACCGGCTTAACAATAAACTGTAAAATAGCTAGCTGTATTCATGTCACAATACTTTCAGTATTAAGGTTATCACGTGCATACAGTTATGCCAACCTTGTGAACGATAGCGTCAAATTTAAATATTCAATAGAAAAAATAATTTCAATTTACATAATTGCAAGTAAAATAAAATTATTATAAATAAATTATTGTAAATATATAATAAATTAGATTTTATGTAATTTTAGTATAAGATAAAGAGAATTATCTGTCATTTTTCTTATCTGACATAAATCTTAACCTATATAGAGAAAAAAAATATTTTATCAATTTTAAAATATATAAACAATTATTTTTATACATTAATTTAATTTTTATATACAAATGTAAATTTATATTATTAATAAGATTTTAAAATATTTTATTTCGATAGAGAATAATCGATAGATATTAATTATTTATATCGATATATCGATTTTTTGAGAGACTAATTGTGATTGGTCTATTTCGTGTAATGCGCAAACGACTAAAATGGCGGTGAATGTAAGAATCGTGAAAAATTTAAGTTAAAGTTTTATAAATAATTTCTTATTTTATTCAATCTCAAAATACTTCTATTTAAATAAATATTACAAAATGAAACTTTTAGTATCAAAATAAATATCAAAAGTATATAATTGAACATATATATAAGTAAGATAAATGGAAATAATGTATTGAGGTTAATCGAAAGCGCGCGTAACGAGATACGTTCCTGATTTAACGATAACTGTTGCGTTAAACTAGTTAAATGATCCTTCACTGTGTTCGGAATCCTGATTGAATCACTGATTACAGTGCATTCTAAAAATAGAATAGCAATCTTAGAACGAAGTAAGAATACAATTTAAGATTATAAATCATCAACATAGTATTTTAAAACATAAATAAAAAATATAAATGTTTTCGATAATCAAAATAGAATTTCGAAAAGTTTAATTATACATAAATGCATGTATACATGCATATGATTTACATCTTAACAGAATTTTAATTATTTACCTTTAATATGTGATATATATATATATATATATATATATATATATATATATATATATATATATTTTATAATTATAGTTGAAACATTACAACATTACTACATTTGTTAAATAAATTTACAGTTATTTCTGTGTGAAAAAAATTCATGAGGGCAAGTTCACACAATACTCACCGACAGGTGCGAGTGTACCCAAGAGCGCGTAATCCAAATGCTAATTAATTCATTACAGGTAAAGAATTCATTTTATGATTTCTGGTTACAATGACGTCATTCTTACACATGCATATAATTAAACATTTCCGTTTATTGATTATGTTCTCTTTTACATTTTGTTTATAGAACCCCACTACAAAAGAAGAAAAATAAATCAGAGAATTTCACCGACACAAAGAGAATTGTATAACAGTTTAGAAGTAAGTATAAACAATAATCACAATAGATTTTTATTACTATTATGAAGATGATATAATAATAGCATAATAGACGTAGAATATAGAATTTATGATTTACGATCGTTAATGGATATCACATAAATGTTTTCGACAGGTATCACGAGATGGTTTAAGCATCAATCTCAAAGCCCTTGCCATAAATTTCCCTGGAAAATCCTGACCCTTCACGCGCAGGAGCATACCATGCAATTATGTGTACGTATGTACCTGACACCACATAGAAACACAATGTAAATATATATATGTGAACGAATTATTGATTAATTATCAAATGTAAATAATGATTAAGAAAGTAAACTAAGTTGTTGATAATAGATATTATATTCAATCTTGTATCAAACAATCTTATTTACATCGATAGATATTAAAATCTGTTAAAATTGATGAAATATTTGTATTACAGGTATATCGAACTTTTTCACAACAATGTTAAGAAAAATCTTATTGTCCTTTCGAATCCGGGGTCGATCGTTACGTTAGAAAGAGGTCATTGAACTCGGAAGATCGAGCCACCCGTTCTCTGAGCTCCGACGTACGGGTCAAGACGAAAGAGAGAGTAGGAAAAATGGGTGGTAGGAGTATAACGAAGAGGAGGTGAACGAGCAATAAAAATGAAAAATGAAAAAAACAAAAACAACAATCAGAAAAAAAGAAAAAGGAAACAAAAATATGAAAAATTAAAACCCGGTGTGATGGTAGAAGCAGAGAGAGAGAGAGAGAGAGAGGGAGAACTTGGTAAGTAAGCAAAATGAAATAATTTGAACAATTAATCATAAGTAGTAAAATAAAGAAACAAAAGGAATCTTTCCTCGATAAGTCTAAATTATCTAGTTGGGATAACTAAACACTGACTAGGTTAACTGATAGTAGTACATAGCAAAAGTATAATCTAGGAAGTTAGAGGAGCGTAACTTGCATTGACGTTTACCACGCGGAGAAGCGCCCGTGTACGAGAGAACCAGCCAGGGAGTAAGAGTAACAGAGAGGGAGTGAGAAAGATAGAGGAAGAGGGGGAAGGCTCGTGTACAAACCGGGACGGGGACGCAACAGTCGCTCGGCGCACTTTGTGCTGGAATCATCTATGAAGATGCCGCTTTTAGATAATAGATCTGACGTTTCGTGATTACTATTCCTATTAATTATATTATCATCATTCATTGATATTACTATAGTTTTCCATTACCCCTTAACATTTTTTTGTACTTGTCATTTTCTCATAGCAATCACGTTCTACCTTCATTATAATCGTGTTACCACTTGAATCGTGAACCAGGAAGGCAAAGAGCACCGTTTTCCCCCTTCATTCATCAAACCTTTCGTTCAGGTAAGCCGTTACTTTTAATCCTCTCTTAATTTATTTGTTTTCTTTTTGGTTTTCATAGGATTAATCTTTTCAGTCTGTCATATAGTTTTTCCAAGGTATGAAATCATTCACTTTCATTGTCGTTATTCGTTTATTCCACTCATATACGTATTATAGTTCTAATGCTAGATTAGGATCATTCCTCTTCCTCTTCCTCCTCCACATCCACCTCTTCTTCCCTATTACTAATACTATCTACTACTACCACTATCATCAGCACACAACCACCACCACCACCACCACCACCACCACCTACCCTTCGTTCCAGTTCGAACTGCGTGACCTCCTTTTCGAGCCGAATCGTCAGCAATTGTTTTTAACGGACGACATCCTCCTGACCTAACCGGAGTTTCGGTTCGACGAGGAACCCTTTTTCTTCCTTTTACACTATTTTCTTTTTTCTATTTATTTATTCGTTGTACCGAATTTTTGCTTCCATTTCTTTTTAGATCTCTTTGTTTTTTTTTTTTTTTTACTTATATTTTCTTTTAATATTTTACAATTTCTTTTATAGTAAAATACCATTTGTCGATCGAACGTTCTATTCTCGTGCGAATATAAACAATACGATCAATGATCCTGATACTCATGAGATTTATATCTTTCAAGATAAATTGAAAAATGTATTGAACGTAAATTAAAAAGGAAATCATTAAAATTATAAAAGAAATACATTTGATATGTTTCAACATTGTGAGTGAAGAAATAATGGACAAGATTTGAAACATTTGATGAAAGATGTTTGACGAGAAGATAGTAAAGGAAAAAAAGTCGTTTAATTTGGTGAAATTTATCGAATGTATTATATTATCGAGAAAACTTTTCTCACGACGAAAGTTTCTATAATCAAGCAAAGGTGATGATAAATATATATATATATATATATTGGTATATGTGACGTCTCGTTATAACACACGTATACTTTCATTTTTCTCTCGAACGTACTATTCAATGACCCGTTTATCCTGTAATGATTATATCGCGTGATGTTTCACGCGTACGGAACTAAAAAAACAATATGTTGTGTTCTCCACGAACTATACTCCACCTACGCATTCACGAATAGCATATATTGTACCTGATTTAACGAAAGATAATCATTTATTTTTACATACTTTGAGTCATTTTATTCTATTTTTTTTTTTTTTAAATTACTTAGAAATTTTTTCTTTGCTTTCCACGAATCAAATTTAATCAAATAATTGCGTTTATAATTATGAAAGTGGTTTAAGTCATATATATCTTGTTTTAAGATATTTAAAAGATTACATTTGAACATTACATAAATTTTATAATATTGGAATAACAAACACTATCTCTAATAGTTTATTTGTGAAAATATCGTGAAAATTACATTGAATTAATTTAGTTTAAAATAATGTGGTATGAAATAATTGATAAACTCATTTTCTTTTTAATTTTGAAATAATAAAATAAATTTATTGAGATAAACTTATTTTTTTAAAATATTGAAATAACAAAAATTATCTCTAATTTTATTTATTTTTGACAATATCGTGAAAATTACATTGAATTAATTTAATTTAAAATACACTGGTGTGAATTAACTGTTAAACTGATTTTATTTTTTATTTGTAACTTACATTAAACCACTTTCATAATTAAGTTTAGAATTATCGTTTAACGAGAATAAAGGAAAATACTTGGAAATAGTTTGTTAGACGTAAAGGTGAAATTTACTCAGTGGCGTGTTCTTTGGCTTCTTCTCGCAGAGGAATCGTGAATGACCTTTGAGATTACGTATCGACCGAATGGAGTGTGTACCATTCCGTTCCATCGGTTCAACCAAGATTGAATACAAAAACGTTTGTAAAATTGTTCCAACCAATCATATCGATAAATGACAATGAAATCTCTTATGTACGATATACGAGAATGACAAAAAAAATACATTATTATTATTTTTATTATTTTTTTTATTTAATAATTATTAATTTTTATAATTATATTATAAAATATAATTTAATATTATATTTAAAGTAATTTATATTCTCTTTAAACATAAAATTTAAATTTAAATATAAAATATAAATATTAACCCATTAATTGCCAAATTATTTTTGGTTTCAGAAATATTTCTATTTTTAAAAAAGTCTCAAATGGGGATTGTGGCTGGTTGCACGAAAAAAAAACCAATAAGAGACTATTACTTATTTCTTTTATTATTATTTTATACATACAAAATAGCTATTATTATGGCATTTTTCCATACAGTCCACATAAAAACCGAGTGGTGTACGTAAAATTCCAAAATCCCCAAATGAGGATCGTGGCAGCTAATGGGTTAATATAAAAATATTTAAATATACAAATATTAAACAATTTATTAAAGTTTATGCGAAATATTTCACGTGTATGATAATCAATAGATCTTATTTATAATACTAAACCGTTGTTAGTAAGTCCATTAAACTTAACTTTATAATAGTAATCGCGTTAAAAGACATAATCTTACAATTTAGATGTAATTCTAATGTAAAAATATTTGTTTTCTTCATATTTTTTCACACCTAATTTCTTAATAACAAGGAATTGAAAACATTGCGTGATGATGTCTTGTTACTCGTTTTAAAATAATATTTTCTAATCGACTACACGTAACATACACGCAAGAAAACAAGGTCGTTTTAAACGTTTCTCGTGTACGAATAAAAAGATTCAAACGGATATTCAAAAAAAGACTTTCTTTTCATTTCCCTTCGTTTTATTTCGTTTCGTTTCGTTTCGTTTCGTACTTTTTTGTTTTTTTATGGAAAATAATCTACAACACAATATACCTAACGCATACATTTATATATCATAAAGCGTTTGCCACGGTGTATTCAACATCGTGAAATGCATCGTCGTACTTCACGCGAATATTCTCTCACGAATTGCATAATGCATTTGAATAAAAAAAAATAATCTTCTCGCAAATATACCAACGAATCCATAGTATTTGTATATGAATATTATATTTTTCTATTTAAAGGTTCAAAATCGATGTTTCGCGTTCTAGACCATTTGAATATTTCTTCTTCTTAAGAATTTCAAGAAAAATTTAAAAAGAAAAAATAATATTATTCGTTCTTATTTTATTTATAATAGAAACTATTTTTCTATTTAACTGTTCAAGATCGAAGTTTCGTAATTTAGATTTAAAGAATTTTATCAAAAATTGAAAAAAAAAAAAAATGAAACAATATTTTTATATTTATTTTTGTATTTATATTTATTTTATATTATTTTTATATTTATACTTTTATTTAAAATAAAAATTATTTTTCTATTTAATTTTAAAAGATCGATGTTTCGTGTTCTCGTTCTTTGAATCATGCAAATATTTATTCTCCTTTTCCTTTTTATAGAATTTTAGCAAAAAAAAAAAAAATTAAAATAAAAAACTAATATCATTCGTTCTCTTATTTTATATAAAATAAAAAAGTTATTTTTCTATTTTAAATATAAACAATTTTTTATTTTAAACATTCGAAATTGAATTTTCGCGTTCTCATTTTAAATCATTTGAATATTTTCTCTTTTTTTTTTTTTTTTTAAAGAAATTCAACAAAAATTGAAAAAAAAAAAAAAGTAATATTATTCGTTTTGATGAAATATAAAATAAAAAAGAATCGTATAGGTTTCTTGATTTGTCCATCTCTTTCTTGTTTTCATCTTTGAAAGTCGTAGGAAGGAGAGAAGGAGGCGGCACAAGCATAGCAAACGTGGTTCCGTTATCCGCGGTAAATACACGGCTGGCCATCCTGTACATTTTACCTCTGGTGAAAATAAACGATAACCAACTCGAGAGAGCCCTGTACAATTTCCCCCTCTTGTTACTTCACATGCCGATAACCTGGATCCGCGTAGCTCTTGTGCGTGATCGTAGAATCGATCTAGATCGTTTAGATTGTGCCACGAGTGAAACAAAAAGAGAAAGAAAGAAATAGAACAAAAAAAAATATATATTTATTCTACCGTAAGATCATATTTTATAATTGATTATTATCATTATTACGTATTCACGTTCAATTCGTATCATATTTATTTACAATACAAACAAAATATGTTAACTCATTACTCGTAACGATACACAAGAGTATATAAAAAAAGAAATTAAATTAACCGTTTATAAGATTTTTTATAAAGATTAATTGGAACCTTTTTTTGCCATAATTATCGAGTATTACCATATATATATATATATATATATATATATTAATACAATTACTCAATTATAATAAATATTATATTATATTTTTATTATTATTATTATATTATATTATTTATATTCTATTATATTTATTTTATAGTAATTTTATATTATTATAGTAATATTTTATTATATATATAATATTATTATAATATATTTACTATAATAAATAGTAAATAGTATATTAATAAATATATATAAATATAATTATTATTATATATATTATTATAATTATATATTATATATAATATTATTATATTTATATAATAATATTTAATATTTAATTAAATTTAATCAAATAAATGAAATAATTAAAATCAATTTTTCTGGTTAATGCAATAATTTAGTTTCTACACATATAACAATAAATATATATATATATATATATTGATCGATGATATCATATATTTTTGATTGATCGAATATATATATATATATAAATTGAATTAAGTTGTTATACCAAAGATAAATATGTAGTAAAATACACATAATACACATTCACATGTATCTCGAGAAGTTTCATTGCTTCAGGGTCATTTCTATAGTCGACGATGACGTTAGGTTGTTCTAAACCGTTTCTTTTCAATTCGAACGAACGAACGAACGAACGAAGCAAGAAAAAAAAACATGAAGAGAAAGAGAAAAAGAACTAGAAATGGAAATAAAAGAAAAAGAAATGAGAAAGAAACGTCGAGACAGATTTCACGATCGATGGAAATTATTCATTCAAACAGTCGCACTGCTGGAC